AGAGAGAGAGAGAGAGAGAGAGAGAGAGAGAGAGAGAGATAGAGAGAGAGAGCGTATTTCTGTTGTTTTAAGCCAACCAGTTGTGGTACTGTTTTACATCAGTCCTAGCAAACTAATGCACCCACTAACACAACACTCCCTAATCTGTCCATCAAATCATCCAAAGGGTGTTGAAAAATGTCAACTCTGTATAAGTTTGATAAGAAAGTTAATGAAAGCAGATAAAAAGAAACATAGGGTTTCTTCATTCAAAGTCCTTAGCAAACAAAAACCAAATAACCCAGCTAAAAACGGGCAAATAATCTGAATAAGTATTTCTCCACAGAAGACATACAAGTGGCCAACAGGCATACAAAAAGGTGCTCAGCATCACTAACCATCAGGAAAATGCAGATCAAAACCACAATGAGCTATCACCTTACACCTGTTAGAATGGCTGTTATCAAAAAGACAAAAAAGTGTTGGTGAGGGTGTGGAGAAAAGAGAAATCCTGCACATTGTTGGTGGGAATGTGGATTAGTATAGTCACTGTGGAAAACAGCATGGAGGGTCCTCAAAAAATTAAGAAGAAAACCAGTATATGATCCAGCAATCCCACTTCTGGGTATATGTCCAAAGGAAATGATATCGTTATGTCAAAGAGACACCTGCACTCCCATGTTCACTGCAGCACTGTTTACAATAGCCAAGATATGGAATCAACCTATGTGTCCATCAATGGATGAATGGATAAGGAAATTGTGGCACATATACACGATGGAATATTATCAGTCATGAAAAAGAATGAATTCCTGTCACTGTGACAACATTATGTTAAGTGAAATAAGCCAGGCACAGAAAGACAAATACCACATGCTCTCACTCATGTGTGGAATTTAAAAGTTGAACTCACAGAAACAGAGTAAAAAGGTGGTTACTAGGTCATGAGTTGGGGAAGTGGGGCGATAACAGTTAAAAGACACAAACTTTCAGTTATAAGATGAGTAAGTTCTGGAGACTTAATATACAGTGTGATGACTATGACAGGGGGACCCAAAAAACCTGGAATTAGTTTTTGAAGGGCCAGCCCCTTGTATTGCAGGCTTCTCCCACTAGGTCAGTGTTCTAGGAACCCATTGGCATCAGTGTACCAGCTACTGTTGTAAGAGGCTGTGTCCGGCTTCAGTGAATTATTTTTAGAGACTCTTTCAAGGTGTTAGCCCATTTCACGATGGGT